GAACAAGATTGAGAGCCCTAAACCAGGCAAGGATAGACCAATGGGACAGTAGACAAGAGTTTTTAGTGGTTCTCAACCTGTGGGTTTCGACCCCTTTGGTGGTAGAACGACCCTTTCAGAGGGGTCACTTACCAGGGGTCCTCAAACTACTTGCCCGTGGGCCACATGCGGCCCGCCGAAAACATTTGTTTTTTTACTTCAAAATAAGATATGTGCAGTGTGCATAGGAATTTGTTCATAGTTTTTTTTTACACTATAGTCCGGCCCTCCAACGGTCTGAGGGACAGTGAACTGGCCCCTTGTTTAAAAAATTTGAGGACTCCTGCAAGACCATCCTGCATATCAGATATTTACATTATGATTCGTAACAGTAGCAACATTACAGTTATGAAGTAGCAACGAAAATAATTTTATGGTTGGGTCACAACATGAGGAACTGTATTTAAAGGGCCAAAAGGTTGAGAACCACTGGTTTAAATAAATCTTCCCCTAAACACACACGCGCGCGCGCACACACACACACACACACACACACACACATCACTCCAGTGTAAGGAGTGTTAAGTACATGGTCCTTCAGTAGAATCCTATACAATTAATGGATACAAGCAATGAAAGGAACAATTAAGAAAAATACAAGTTTGTGTATTTTAGCCTAGCATTTTTCTTTAACCCTTAATTTTCATAGACACCAGTGGCATTTATTATGCACAGTTTTATTTTGGAATTCAATTTCTTTCTTTAAAATTTTATTAAATTTATTGGGGTGACATTGGTTGATAAGATTATAAAAGTTTCCAGTGTACAATGCTATATCATCTGTATATTGCATTGTGTTCTCCACCCAAAGTCAAGTCTCCTTCCATCACCATATATGTCATCCCGTTTACCCTCTTCTACTGACACCGACACCCCTTCCCCTCTGGTAACCACTTGGTGTCTATGAGGTTTTTTTGTTTGTTAGTTTGTTGCTTTCTGCTTTATATTCCACAAATGAGTGAAATCATATGGTTCTTTTCCTTTTCTGTCTGACTTATTTTGCTAAGCATGATACTCTCAAGATCCACCCATGTTGTGGAAAATGGCAGTATTTCATCTTTTCTTACTGCTGCATAGTATTCCATTGTGTATATGTACCACATCTTTCTATCTAATCATCCATCAAAGGACACTTAGGCTGTTTCCATGTCTTTACCAATGTGAATAATGCTACAATGAACATAGGGGTGCATGTATCTTTACAAATAAACGTTTTCAAAATTTTGGGGTAGATGCCCAGAAGGATTGCTAGGACATATGATATGTCTATTCTTAATGTTTTGAAGAGCCTCCATACTGTTTCCATAGTGGCGATACCAATCCACACTCCCACCAGCAATGTATGAGGGTTCCTTTTTCTCTACAACCTCTCCAACACTTATTTCTTGTCTTGTTGATAATAGCCATTTTAACAGGTATGAGATGGTATCTCATTGTAGTTTTTATTTGCATTTTTGTTACAGCTAATGAAGTTGGGCATCTTTTCATATATCTGTTGGCCAATTGTATGTCTTCTTGGGAGAGTGTCTATTCAGGTCTTCTGCCCATTTTTTAATTGGATTGTTTATTTTTGTTGTTGTTGAGTTGTAGTAGTTCTTTATATATTTGAACTCCAATTTCTTGAAGATCTTTGGACAATTACATAGTAACCACAGTAATATAAATTTAAAAAGTCAATGAGATGTGTAAGCAAACACAACTGCATTAATATTAAGAATCATTTGAGGTAGAGAATTGTTTCATGGATGGCATGTGTTTTCATGAAAGTATTTAAAAATGAGGGTTGGGAGTAATGATTTGGGAGCAGCAGTTAAGGCCAGAATCCTGGCCTTCTGAAAGGGTGGGCTGCTGGGCAGGTAGGAGCTTGGGGAACCACCAGGTTTCTTCTGAGGCAGGAAGTAAACTCTGCTTATAACCAATGAGCCTAAAAGAGAAACTTGAGTCTCCCAGCAAACACCTTGAAAAAGAAACTTGAGTAATCCCAGCAAACACCTTGATTTCAGCCTGTGAATCTGTGAGCAGACAACCCAGTGTAGTCTTGCCTGGACTTCTGACCTAAAGAAATGTGAATAATAAATGGTTATTGTGTTACGACACTAGTTTGTGGTAATTTGTTACACAGCAATAGAAAACTAATATATCCAGTCCTCTATATTAAAATGTAGAGCACAGGGTCCTCAATCTTTCCTCTGTCCTGGCACACTAGAGGGAACTGGATAAAAGTGCCAGTGACTGGATCATCATGGCAAGGATTTCCCTAGGTGGGAGGGGTTGTCTGAAGGGGCCATCAGTTGACTCTATTCACTACTATAAATGCCTTAGGCATTTTCTTTCATTTTTGCTAAATATCAAAACACAATATGAAGATAATTTTACCCTGCTGGCCCTCAGTTGATTTCTGCCCCTATCACTCATTGGCTCTTTCCTGCCCATCCTCTATGCTATCTATCTACCTCAGATCCCCACTGAGTCAGCTGCGTTTTGTCCCATAAAAAAATTACTTGATATGGCTGAACTCATCACTACCATGCACCAGCCAAATTAGCTTGTGTCAGGATCATCTGGAAAAAGTGGAAGAGAGACCATTTTAATATTGGTTTTAAAACATAGCTAAGAAGCTAAATTTGCTTCTGGAATAGGAAAAAAACCCACAAAAAATACCAAAATGATGCCCGTCTAAGCCAAGCATCATTATCTCCTAATGCCCAAGAGTATCTCCCACAGGATGTCAGATATTCAAAATAAACTCAGAAATGAACAGCCTACCATTTTCAGAGTGACATTCAAACCTTCTGAAGCCCCTTTAGATGGTGTACAGCAAATTTTATCCCCTGTGTTGGCAGCGGGCTGGGTTGGGGTCTTTGGACTTCCTTGGGGCTCAGGGGGAGGGGCAGCTCAAGGCTGCCCTCTCTTGTGGCATCACCTGCCTGTCCCTCGCACAGGCGCTCTGTATATATCACGCCCACACCTGCTCTTCCTCCTGGGAAAGGCCACCACCTGAGGAGTCCATTTCTGTCTCTGACCTGGACCAGCCATCCACACCCATGAGACAGAGCAGACACACATAGCAGTGGGTTCCAAAGTTCTGAGCATTTTCCTTAAGCCTGGCACATGGTGTGTGTGTGTGTGTTGGAGGACAGTGGGAGAGCTCACCTATCCTTGAGAGGGTAGTTGTGTGAACTTTGATGTATTTGAGCTGCCGATCTTAAGGCCCCACCACAGAAGCTCCTTGTGGACAGCAGCTCTGGCCAGAGCGGGCTTGGCTTCATGAGTGTGTGGCCTGTGCAGGCGCCCAGGGCCTGCATGTGGAAGGGCAGCACATGTGGTTTAATGCTTTGTTGTCACTATGGTGACATACATAATCGTTTTTGAACAAGGAAGCCCATGTTGCACTGGGCCCCACATATTATGTAGCCAATCCTAGGCTAGAGGAAGGGGTCAGGGGTCTGGAATTGCAAACCAATCCTTGTGCCAATCAGAAATGGCTAGCTTGCCATTTTCATATTTGCTACGAGTTTCTAGCCCTTGTATAAGTTCAACTCATTCATTCACTTATTTGACAGATATTTGGCACCTCTTGTATGCCGGCACTGTTTTAGGCACTGTTTGTGTGCCGGCACACACATATAAAATCCCCGTCTTCATGGAGCTCACATTCTACTGAAGGGCACTGACAGGGAAGAGGTTATCAAATGTGTGTGGAAGTCCCCATGGGATGTATATGTTTATATAGGAAGCTCAGTTAAGATGTATATGGTATATATATCCTGGATGTATAGACAGGATATCTATCTATCTATCTATCTATCTATCTATCTATCTATCTAATTTATAGATACCTATTTATATGAAGTACAGATAGGATGTGTGTGTGTATGTGTGTAGTCCCCCAAAATGTATACACACTTTGAATAATTATAAAGGCAGTGCTTATTAAAATACATTTCATTTTCAAAATGTAATAGAAATCAGCTGTTAAAGTTTATACACATTTTGGGGGAATATATATATATATGCCAGAAAAGGCTTCATTGAAAAAATAAGGCCATTTTCCTAGGTGAATGTACAAAGAGGAGCTCCTTTATTGGCCTTAGAGATCTACTTCAGAACTATGGACCACATTTCCTCTCATGTAGTGGCTGAGGAAAACCTTCCCCATTGATAGAAATGTGGCACACTGGAGAGACACATTTAATTTCATCCTGCATGAAACCGATGGCTGTAGCCCATGTGCTGCATTATGCTGTTTTGTAAATAATAAGTAAATACAAAAATAAATAAGAAAAGGCAACTTTTCTTCAGATGAGGATAGACTGGAGAAGGTCAAGGGCAGGAGAAAGGAGACCAGTTAACAGGCTATTGTAATATTTCAGGCAAAAGACAATTGTGGCTTGGGCACTCATGTGGGTGAGTTCTGGTTTTATTTTAAATGGAAAGCCAACAGACCAGATGTAGGGTGACCAAAAAAAAAAAAAAAAAGAGTAAAGGATGAAACCAAGAATTGTGACCTGAGCAAATAGAAGAAGGGAGAGATGCTGGTTCAGGGTGAATATCAGGGATTCCGTTTGGGTAAGTTAAGTTTTAAGGTGTCCATTGGTCATCCAAGCAGATGTCAAGCAGGCAGTCAAGTTCAAGAAAATCTTGATTAAAGATATAAACCTAAATTCACCAGCATATAGATAATATTTGAGTGAACATAGATGGAAAATAATTTTTGAAGATGTTCAAACCTTCGAGTTTTCCTGACACTGGAGCTGTTGCCAGTGGCACAGGTACACCCTAGTCCATGTCACACTCTGAGGGGCCCCACTGCAAGGCTTAGTGGAGTGAAGACAGGAACACATGGGATAGCTGTGTTTTCACTAGTCTCCCCCCCAAAAATGATAACACGAAAGGAAAACAGCTCATCAGTTGGATTACTTAATTTAAATCATTATTATGAGTTTATTTTATCCTATAACTAGTTCAAATTTTCACATGATTAAGGAATGTTCGTGGCTATAGAAAAGGACTTGGACTGGAGAGTCCTTGCAGACACCTCCACCTACAGCCCCTCAAATCTGGATTTAATCCACATATTTTCTTTAGGTAAGAGCTCTTCTGGATGGCCATGTTCTCGGCTTGCAGCTTTGAGAGAAGCATCATTAGAATTATCCACCTTCTGATAACCTAAGAAGGAGATTGGGAGTCATGATGCGTCTCAGGAGCACTTCATGCTGAAAAGCCTAGTAATTTATTTCTGGTGGAGTTTTGACACTCCCGTCAGTCTGGCCAGGTGAATCAGAAGAAGGAATCTGTTGAGGCATTTCTGGAATCTTACTGGCGGTACCTGGCAGGCATTCCTGCTTCCAGGCCTCATTTTCAAGGGATTTTGTGTTCTCCTGCATGAATATGGTCTCCTTTGTGGAAATAGCTGCAGACACCAGTGGCTAAACAGAAAAGAGAGAAAAGCAAAAAAGTCATTAGCAGAGACTAAAACACACTTGGTATGGCAAGAACACAATACTGCCATTTTCATGTGCAAGACTAAGAATGAAATGGAAACAGACTTGCCCTAGCGAAGCATAAAACAAAAATCTGATAGGATAAGATGATTCAGCAATAATACAACTGCCCGCCAGAACAAAACTAAACATTGATTGGTTGCCTCCCACATGGCCCCGACCAGGGATCAAACACGCAACTGGGTATGTGCCCTGATTGGGAATCAAAACCAGTGACCCTTCTGTGCATGGGATGATGCTCAACCAACTGAGTCCCAGTGGCAAAGGCTAGACTTTTTTTTTTTTTTTAAATATATTTTATTGATTTTTTACAGACAGGAAGGGAGAGAGATAGAGAGTTAGAAACATCAATCAGCTGCCTCCTGCACATCTCCTACTGGGGATGTGCCCGCAACCCAGATACATGCCCTTGACCGGAATCGAACCTGGGACCTTTCAGTCCGCAGGCCGACGCTCTATCCACTGAGCCAAACCGGTTTCGGCCCAAGGCTAGACTTTTAAAAAAATCTATTAATTGTTTGTGAGAAAAGCTGAGCATATTGTATAAATGTAAATAAGCTTAATATTTTCATATTTCCAAAGTGGACTTTGGGAACTAGCAAAAGCTAGTTAATTGTATAAGACTGCATTAAGGGTTTTAATGCATGGGATGTAGTATAGTTATAAAGATGTCAGGTATCAAGCCCAATAAGTCAATTTCCTATCTGGGTATCATGTACTTTGCAGAAAACATCAAATGACACATTTTCCAGAAGATTGTGGCAAAAATTCAGAGATGAAAAATATGCTTGTCCGACTACTCCAAGTTATCAATTTATGACCACGATTACAGCACCACAGAGGTGGCATCTGTGGCTTGATCATAAATAAATAGTATGCAATAAATAAGATAGTCAAGTAAATAGTATAAATAAAAGAACAGATCTAAAGTATATAATGATAACCATATTTGGTTTCTAAGAAATATTTAATAATTTTTGAAAAGGGCTCAAAGGACCTTATATAAAAAATATATTTGTTCCAAGTGTCATACTAGTTTAAAAAAAAAATTTTTTTTAAACCAGTAACATTTTAGGTATTTCCTGAAATCTAAAATGGAATTGCCTTTAAACATTTTCTTTTTCCATTGATAATGATCTTATTGACAACGGTTGTCAATAAGACTGGTTTATAAACACGGAGGGAAAAGTAGGCTGTTGGGGCCTCAACCTGCCTTGCGCTGTGGCCAGGCTGACCGTGGATTCCTGGTACCGGCTCTGGGATGCGCACCCAGTGCTGAGTCCCTCCTCCCTACCTGGTGACACTTTTCATGCTCCTGTTGAATCTGACACTCCTCTTGCTTCAGCATTTCTGTCATTTGGGTTTCCTTGAGGCTATTATCATATTCCTCCTTCAGCTGGATCTTCTCCTGCCTGCCCTGGGTAATGTGACAGAGGAAATCAGACCAGCCCCTGGGAGGCATGCACAGATGGGCCCCTCCCTGGGATTGGCCTCCAGCCCTTCAGGGCTCCTGGATTTGCTCCTAGAACAGCTTTAACCTGGTGGTGGCTCCAAACTCATCAGCTCCATCACTCCTGTGAGCTGGACTCCCTGCGCTTCCAGGATACCTGGGCCTAAGCCACCCTCACAAGTGGAAAAACTAAAAGCTCCCCAAGCCAGCTCCACAATTCTGCCTTGGATTTCCAGTTACTCTGGGCAAGCTCCCCAGGCTGACCCAGTGCACACACACCTCTTCCTGTGCTTTAGTGATTTTCCCGTAGTGATGAAGCCAGTGAGCCAGGTACTCTATGGGGTCACTGGGCCGAACCTTCGCCACCTCTGCCAGTGCCTGGGCAAGGCAGTTCCCAAAGCACCTCTTCAGGTAGTCAGTTTCCATCCTGTGGGCTAGGGACACATCAAAAGAGTCACACTATTTAAAAAAATAGACACATTCTAACCAATAAGAATTCATTTCAGGATAAATATGATATATTTCTGAATCCCACCCTTCCCCAAAGAATCAATAAATATATACATGCCAATAGCTCTTACATTGAAATGGCCTTTTTCCTAAAGTCCTAGGTCAGATAGTAGGTGCTGGGGTGTTCAGGCATGACAAGAATTTGATAGATTGGTGGTTAAGGGGGTCTAAGCTTACCCACATGTCTACCCTTGCATGGAGAGGAAATAACTGAGCAGAAATGGGTCCCCACAGGGGTTCTGAGCACCCAGCAAGCTGTGCTATTATGAGGTTGGAAGTAACCTATGACATAATAAGACAGGCTTATTTATTTCACCAGGGATCACTGAGCAGCCCTGGGGAGGAGCAGTAGGGGAATGCCAGGCACTACAGCTACTGCTGCCAGCACTAACAGTGTTCCACTCTCTAGTTTTTAGGCAAGAAACTGCTTTAGATTGAGTGGGTGCCCCTGGATTCACTGATTTCAAGATCCGAGGCAGTATAGCCTGAGTTGGGCCACAGAGGGGAGTGGTCCTGGGGTGCAGCAGCACAAACACAGACTCCGGGGCTGGACAGACCAAGTTCCAGTCCTGCTTCTGCCATTTATTGGCTGTGTGGTCTTCAGCAAGTCACCAGCCTCTGTGATCCTTGGTTTTCTCATCTGAAAAACAAAGTAACAAAGGCATGTGCCTCCTAACTGTGAGATAATCCTATATAATAAAAGGCTAATATGCAAATAGACTGAACGGCAGACCCACTGGTCACTATGATGTGCATTGACTACCAGGGGGCAGACGCTCAACACAGGAGCTGCCCCTTGGTGGTCAGTGCACTCCCAATAGGGGGAATGCCGCTCAGCCAGAAGCCGGGCTCACGGCTAGCGAGCGCAACAGACAGCAAGAGGGCTCCCAGACTGCAAGAGGGTGCAGGCCGGGCTGAGGGACCCCCTCCCCCACTCCCCCACCAGTGCACAAATTTCATGCACCGGGCCTCTAGTAAATACATATAAAGCACTAAGCCTGGCACATAGTAAGTGTTTAATAAATACTAGCTATTGCCGTGGAAATTTGTGATATGAAATGGCCCAACACCTGGCCTATTCCTGACCAACTCCATATTCCTCAAGTTTATGTATTTTAGCTCCAAAAGAGTTAATAATAAAGTGACTAAAAAAAGCTTAGATCCAGTCTTAATATTTTCTGGAGGCACTTCTCAGTTTAAAGAAGGATAGACAGATAGATACATAGATATGAATATAGAAAATATACATATTTCAAGCTCTTCCCACTGCAAAGGCCTAGAGGCAAAACCACCTCAGTAGCAATGAGCACAATGAGCATTCTGAACTTGTCTTTAAATGGCTGTCACCACTTCAAAGGAATCAGGGCTCCTTGGAGAAATGGCCAAGTCCAAGGTTGAGGCAGTAAAAGTCCCATAAGTCTGGAATATTTTGTTGTCCCAGAAAGAAAATGTTGAAAAATAAAATGGCTGGGGACATAAGAGCCAGCTTGAAGGGGCTGCTACTGGCCAAATCTGGGGCAATTTAATCATAAAAATACATAATGACTGTAATGGATTACAACTAATTGAGTAAAAAAAGGATCCATGAGTCCATATAAAAGCAAACAAATAAGTGAATGGGAGAGACAGCATATAAATACCAACTAATAAATGTGGAAAAAATAATGGAGCTTTAAATAATCACCATTTTATAACCTTCACAGTATAACAGAATCAAGCCAGAATCATCAATGAATAATAAAACTCAGTGACTATTTGAAAAAAAAAACAGGATATTTATATAGTCTCAAAGTTTCTCCCTACACAGTATAGACCAAGTCCAAAGGGAAACAGAAATTTTACAGTGATAAAACCTGGCCAACAAAACCTTAACCAAAATATCAAAATAAACATCATCAATAAGGAACAGTGACAGCCCATGTCTCCTAATGTAATACACTTCTCAGTGGCACACAATACATTTCTGGATTCCTGACCCAAAGGCAAAACTTGAATCTGATGGAGGAAACATTAAACTAAGCCAAATTAAGCTACAGTCTACAACTGACTTGAACTCTTAAAAATGTCAACGTCATGAAAGGCAAAAAAGAGATGAGGAACCATTCCAGGTCAAAGGAACCTAAACAGGTATAGCAATACGTACATGCTCCTGGATTGGATCTGGACCAGAAAAACATTTCTATAAAGGACATTGTTAGGCAAATTGGGCAAACGAATGTAAATTGTAGCTTACATAACAGAATTACATCAAGGTCACATTTCCTGGGTTTGGTAGTTGAAATATGAGTAAGAAAATGCCCTTGTTCTTAGGAAATGCACAGCGTGGTAAGGCTGAATAAGCTCCCACAGGTGTCCAAGTCCTAATGCCTGAAACCTATGAAATATGTCACCTTATACGGCAAGGACTTTGCCGATGTGATTACATTGAGGACTTTGATTTGGGGAGATTATCTGGACTCACCAGGTAGGCACAATGTACTCACAGGGCCTTTAGGAGAGGGACAGTGAGGTCAGACAGAGATGTGAAGATGGAAGTAGAGGGAGAAAAGGTGATGTGATCCAGCACCAAGTCGAGCCTCCTTCGCATCCAAAGCCAAGAAATGTGGGCTGCCTCCAGAAGCCCGAGAAGGCAGGGAATGGATTCTCTTCTAGAGCCTCCCCCTTTTTAACTCGGTGAGACTCATTTTGGATTTCTGATTTTCAAAAACTGTAAAAAAACAAATGTGTGTTTGAAGCCACTAAGTTTGGCGTATTCAGAATGAGTCACTCCAAGATGTGCCTCTGTGATACGCAGATTGCTTTGAGCTAAAGGCAACCAAGGCCATTCGGGCTCAAGAGAAGCTTCTTCACCCTCCCCCTGTGGGAGGCAGTTAGATGTGAGCGGAGCAAGGATGAAGGGACGGGCAGAGAAGGTCACCAGGGTGGAAAGCCCCAGGGGCCTAGCAATGGACAATGGTAGGGTGGGACCTCATCCCCAGGGTGGCCATTCCTCCCCTAGCATATCACTGGTCATGCAGTTTGGACTCCCTGACCTTTCCTCCCTAGAGATTACATCTAACCTTGGTTCTATTTCAGCTCCAGGTCCAGAAAAGCAGCAAAAGCAGACAAGCAACCCTGACCTCAGGACCAGTTGCACTAACTAATGACCCCGTACTAACCAATCAGTGGAGACCACCGCCCTGAAAGGACACACCTGGGAAGCTAAAGAATATTTTATTGCGATTCTCCCCTGGGACCTCCCCTAAGATCGCTGCCTTAAAAAAGCTGTTAGGGCAGCACTCAGTGCTTTCCCTCCAGGGAGCACGCCCACACTATTCCCCTCCCCCACCTCTTCCCCCAGGTGAGTTACCACTACCTTCCTCACTCCAAGCTCCACGGGCCCTCCTTTGGCCTCTGTAACTTGTTTCCTGAGCCCATGTCTTCCAGCACTCACTTCCTCCACCTCTGTGATTTTCTAAATAAATGTCCTCTTATAGTTTGAGTCTTGGCTCTGAATTCGTTCCTAGCCAGAACTCAAGTACCAAGCTTGCTGAACTGAGGTCCAGCCTGACCCTACCGGTCTAACACCTGGTGCCATTCTCCTCACCACCAACACCCCCAACTACCTAGAAGAATTTAGATTAGGGGCTTTGCCCACAATAAGAGATTGTGAGAGGTAACATTTTTTGACCTATGCAGAGGTCAGGGGAAACTTCTAATTACTGAACATCTGCTCTTCTTAGTGTCCTGCAATGACCTACCTCCCCTCTCAAGTCCCAAGGTGATCCTTAGCTCAGAATGTCATATATACTTCGTCTCCCCCTTTCTGTCTTTGAACCCCTCGTGTGTGGGGTCTCTGACTCATATGCGCAGGGTTCCCATACATATGTATGTAATTAAATTTGGTCATTTTCTTTTGTTAATTTGTTTCATGTCTAATTAATTATTAGACCAGCTGACAGAACCTTAGGAGTAAAGTTTCTTCCTCTCCCACAGAGGTAGTCATGGAGGGTGGGGATGGGGGTGGGGGTTGTCTCCTTCTGATACCCTGTGGCCCACCTGAACCAATGCTCCTGGATAAAACTACCTTCTACAGCCTGTCTACTCCAGGGTGGTCCATGACCAGCAGCACAGTATCACCTGGGGACTTGCTGAAATGCAGATTTTCAAGTCCCACCCCAGGCCTATAGATTCAGTCCACATTTTAACAACATTCTCAGGTGATTTGCAGTTACCAATCTACTTTGCCTTTATCACTGTAGAATCTGCCCTTCCCAGAGGGTAGAATCACCCATTTTGCATTCCCAAGAAGTCTCTCCACTCCCAGTCCTTGGGTGGCGGCCACACTGTATGTATGGCGAACCCTTTCTGAAGAAAACATCTGCTCCTAAGCGCACATTTGCAACAATGACCTCAGTGCAATATTGTTGACCTGACAGTTCTCAAGACTTGCCACAGTAACAGAACCACAATGTGCGGCTTGGAGAGGACGGTGGCAAAGGGCTTTTACAGCCCACTCCACACTAGCTCAGGGCCCACTCACGCAGAGGGAAGGGGCTATTTTCAATTTCCCGGAGCTGCTGGTTCTCCCAGTTCATGGCCTTGCACTCAGTAGGCTGGGCAATAAGCGTGATGGTCTTTGTTCACATTCTATTCCCAATGCTAGGCACACAGTAGGTGCTCAGTAAGTATTTGCTGACTTAATCAGGTAGGACTCTGATGCTTGTGAGCTCAAACAAGAGCTGGTGCTCCCTTCCACCTGTCAGTGCCCACTCGGGCACTTACTACCTCAGCCAGCATTTAGCGAGGCTTCTGCACAGCACTGCCCGCAGCACGGGAGAAATTCTAGCTGAGTCAGGCCGCTATGGCTTCCGGAGGTGAGGGCCCTGCGCTGGCTCTGAAAGGAACCAAGCGGAGGTTGCCAGCAGGTGCAAAGGAGCGAAGGAGTAAAAATGCAGGACCATTGAGCTTGTAGCGATGGTCTCCTCTGGCCAGGTGTCCTGGGGCCCGGGAAGGGGGTAGGCTGTCCCCTGCCTTTCACACACAGATAGCCCCTCGAGACTCCTCCCTTTTCTCTCTCCCATTGCGCGCGGGCCTCCCCGCCCTCCTCTTTCCTCTCTCCGGCAACCGGGTCCTCTCAGTAGCAAGTCTCTGTCCACCCTCGCGCCCCCTCCTCTCGGCCGCGCGTCCC